GTCTGAAGGTGTCTGCCCTCCTGTCAGCATGACGTGAGGATGTGGGGGGACAAACCCATCTCACCAGGATCCCCAAGCCCCCACTGACCTGTGTCCCTTCCCTGATCAGTATTCCCCGTCTCTGCTAGAACATCTCCTTCCCCGTGTAACCTCCCTCCCTCTCAACTGCTTAATCTCACTTCTCTATTGAAGAATAGGACCTGATAATCAATTTGAGAACTAGTTTTTGTCATGAGATTGGTATATGGATTAATTAAACTGAGAAAATGCTGAAATTTCAAAAGAAGAAATAATAAAAACCTAAGCCTATTCCAGATTGTGTGTATTTTCAGGGGCTCTATGGGGCCGAGCCAGGAGAAGGTGGGGAGGAGCTAGAATGGGTGGGGCCTGGACACAGGCAGTGCTCAGGACAATGAGATTTTGGTGGACACTTCTCAGCCAGGTCACCTTCACACCTCTCTTGTCTTTATTCCTTCAGTAGCACCTTGTCCCACTAGCATCTCTGACCACAGGCCCTCAGACATCATCCGGCCTTTCCTGTCTCAGTGCTGTGGGCATGAAGGGCTTGGTGGGGCCCGGGCAGCCTAGGCTCAGGTTTAAGTTTGGACCTTGGTTCCTGCTGTTTGTTTTTATATTTATGTGTTTGTTTTTATACACACTATGCCTGCTCCTGTTTTGTGTATGCATCTAGTCTCATTTTCTCATAATCCCCTTCTAGGGGAACTGACAAGAGGAAAGCGCATAACGGGAGACAGAAGTCGGTGTAAGACATGAAAAAATATATAATTTATAAATTATCAAGTATCATGAGGGAGGGAGAGGCAAAAAGAGCTGCTATCAAGGGCTCAAGTAGAAAGAAAATGTTTTGAAAATGATGATGCCAGGGACCTGCCCCAATGCCAACTATGTGGACACCTGCCCCTCCCCGCAGAAGAACTTATTTCAGAGGACAGCACAGAAGCTGCAGCTCAGGGAGCCGGACATGTCTGATCAGAGCACACGGGAGCAAATGAAGGGAGAGGAAGAGAGAGTGGACCACAACCTGGCTCACCAAGCCTTGATGACGAGATTCCTGCTCAGAGCAGCAATCCACAGAGAAGACCAAAGGCAAGCCCCACTATGAGACCTGACATCCCTCACTGACCCATAGCCCTACAGGGGACAACACTGGAAACACAGTGTAGTACCTATGCCCAATCTGACCCCACCACACCGAGGCAAAACACTAAATGTGTGCAACAGAACAGCAGGGAAGCAGAGCAATGAAGACTCCAGGGAACACCACAAATAGACTTCAGGGCCAGGGCTTGGCACCCCATCAGACTGGACCGCAAAACACTCCTCAAAGTCAGCAAACAGACCTTGAACTAGCCACAGGCGTTTCTTAGTTGTTGTTTTTCTTTTGTTGCTTTGTTTTACCCTGTCTTGTGTTTGTGCATGTTATTATCTCTGCAGGTCTGCCTAAATAAGATACGCTGGATGAACAAGTTGGATGAGAAATCAATGGGACCTATGGTTCCAGGGGGATATGGGAGAGGGAAAGGTGTGGGGGAAAGGAAGTGGAGTTAACAAACTCAGGGACAAGGGAACAACAAGTGATCCATATCGGTGGTGAGGAGGGTGTAGGAGGCCTGGTAGGTCATGATCAAGGATAATGTGACCGAGAGGAATTACTGAAACCCAAATGAAGGCTGAGCATGATAGTGGGACAAGAGGAAAGTAAAAGGAAATAGAGGAAAGAGCTA